AAAAAAAAAGAAAGAAAGAAATGAGGCTCTCGGAACCCCATCGAACCGGGGGCTGGCGAGCACTGACCTTGCTCACGGTCGAGCGGCTCATTCAAGGCGGACACTTAAAGGAAGCCACTGGAAGATGAAAACTATGGCGACACTGAGGCGCGAGAGGCAAGCACAGAGATGGGGCCACCTGCTTCTCCCCGGGCAACATAACCCCCAAACCTACAGCAACTGGAGCACTTGCCTCCTGCAGGGGTCGACCCCAAGGAAGCCCCTCAGCCAATGAGGAAGTGCCGATGCTGTGGAAACACCTGAGACGCCTTCTGGGCTTCCTGGGCTCTCAGGCAGAGCAGGTCAGTGGGAGGGCTGTGCTGACACCTCAGAGTGGGCCCCTTCCCCCCTCTGGGTCCACAGCAGGGGGTGGGTGGGTGGGGGGAGGCTGCTGAGGCTGTCATTCTCCTTCCCTTTCCGGATAAAGAAGAGAGAGGCCCATTTGGTCTACTACGAGCAGCCAACGAAAGCCTTCTGGATCCCTCAGTAGGACTTGCTCACTTTGGCCACATCATTAGGAAGCATTGATCCCGGGAGCAAACCTGTGTGATGATGTAGAAACCCTGGAAGGAGACAGATGGCATCATCGGTGCAATAGGCTGGTGACTGAGGATGACTCAGGACCGTGCAAGACTGCGTTGGGTGGTATAGAAGGTCACCATGGGTCACGAGTCAGAGTCCATTTGAGGACAGCGAACCAGCCTATCTACCTATCTATCTAGCTATCTGCTTGCCTATCTACCTATCATCTCTCTTACAGATGAGGACGGGAAGGTTCGGGGAGATGAGATGCCTTTCTCAAAGGCTCAACAGTCAAGCAGGAGTGGAGATGGGTCTAAGATCTAGGACACCTCAAACTCCCAGTCCAGTGCATGTAGGCCCTCCGGAGCATAAGGCCTGTCTGCTGAACGATCCCTTTGGAAGCAAGTGGTGTCATTTCTTCAAAAGGTTACTTCTGGAGCAGCTTCCTGCAGGCATTCACTAATGAGAGGCCAGCCTCCCACCATTTGCCCAGCAAGCAAAGCACACACCAGCGCAGATGTTACCCAATCACTGGGGCCTTCCTGGTCGACGTGACAATTGGGGCCTGTGCTAGCACTTCTGAGTGTCCCTGACCTGACTACCCCTGTCTGGTCCAAAAGGAGATCTACAAGCATGGTCATCGCTTCTTGGCCTCCCTCAACCACCCTCAGAGCCCTGCCCCAAGCCTTGTCTCATCAGAACCCCACCACACACACACACACACACACACAGAGCTTTCCAGGAAACAAACAAACATATTGCCCTTGGGTTGATTGCAATTCATCACAAGCCCCACGTGACAGCGTCCAGCCACTCTGAGGGGACTTTCCTGGCTGTCACCGCCAGGCCTTTCTGCAGCAGGGATGCTGGGTGGGGTCCAACTGCCCATCTTCACATGAGTAGCCCAGCACAGACTTTAGTGACCCAGCTCACTAGGGGTTTGAAGATTTCCGGGTATCTGGTATTAACCAAAGGAGCCCTAGTGGTGCTGCTGGGTAAGCTGTAGACTGCCAACCCTGAGGTTGGAGGTTCAAACCCACCAGCTGCTTCAAAGGCAACTGACCTCATCTTTTTCACATTCTCAGAACCCCTACACAGGCTCTGTATAAGTCAGAATCAACTCAGGGGCCGTGGGTTTGGTTGGTGTTAGTCTGCTCAGTGGGAACAGCCCCAGAAAGGGAGTAGCAATTTAAGCATTTTTTACTGGCTCCCACCTGGGCAACTGCTGGCAGCTGGCTGGGAGTTGGGCCATTTGCAGTGGGGCGCAGTTTGGGAGGAGGGGGCAGGAAGGCCAGTGGGGAAGAGGCAAAGGAAGGTGGGGGGGCTCCCGTGCCAACCTCCAGCAGGCCCCCTCAGTTTTCCAGAAAGAGGTCCCAGGGGAGCCTATCCCTGGGCATCCACTGCCAGAGGCAAGGCCTGAATCACTTCGGGCCAAAGGGGAAAGAAAGAGACAAGAGAGGGGAGGGGTGGGTTGGGGGAGGATGGAATAAACAATCATCAGAGGCTCTTCGATCTTAATCCATTTTATTCTACAAAAGACTACTCAATCAAAAGTGGAAAAGCTAACCAAAAAAAAAAAAAAAA